GGGAGTCAATGGGAGTCAGGGGATGTATTTTAATCTATCCGGTGATTAGGAGGGAGCCGTTCGGAGCTATGAGCATCCATATTCGCAACAAAAAAAGGTGGGCAAATTGAAGTTTCCCAACCATTTGACGGTGATGATGGTGATTCTTTTCTTGGGAAACAGAATCGGTAAGCCAAAGATATGTTTGTTCGGACGACAACTCGCTGCAAGCTGGCGCGGTCACGTAATCATGGTGGTTTCAAAGATCCAAGCTTAATCATGGCTCGCCTAGCTAAATTATAATATAATATATCTATATATTGTTTGCGCGTGTGTATTTGAATGTGTATATATATATATAGATGTATGTATGTATGTGTCCCCACACATGTAGTAAAAGTGTTGATAGTTTCAAAAAGTCAAATTATGTTTATGCTTGCAGGGGGGTTACCGGACCCGGGCCCCTTCTTGGGCATTTTTCAAGTCGCATGGTCACTTTCCTAATATCCTGATCAGAGCTCATCGGCTTCTGCGACGTTTGGTCGGTGCATATTTGGTTTGTATACGCTTTGCTGTCAATGGCATGTCTGTCGGGATGGGTGAGGGTAAAAACGTCTTTGAAACATTCTGTGGGGAAATTGTCACACGCTCTCTTGATGCTATGCTTTGTATATGTTCTACGGAACTTGCCATACGCTCTTGATGCTGCGTTTTGAATATTCTCTAGGGAACTTTTTGCGTGCTCTTGATGCTACGCTTTGAACATTCTATACTGCATGCGATACGCTCTTGATGCTATGCGTTCAATATTTTATACGGAACTTGCCATACGCTGTCATTGCTACGCTTTGAATATTATCCATGGAACTTGTGAAACACTTCTAGTGCTACGCTTTGAAACATTCTCCACGGAACTTGTCACACGCTCTTGATGCTATGCTTTTTGAACCACAAATCGACGGAACTCGCCATACACTCTCAATGTCTGTCAATGCTACGCTTTGAATATTCTCTAGGGGACTTGTTACACCCTCTTGATGCTATGCTTTGACAAAAGACCTACGGAACTTGCCATATGCTCTCAATGTTTCTCAATGCTACAGATTGAATATTCTCCAGGGGAATTGTTAGCTCGTGATGCTGCGCTTTGAACATTCTCTACGGAACTTGCCATACGCTCTTGATGCTATACTTTGAACCATTCTCTGGGGAACTGGTCACACGCTCTTGACGCTACGCTTGGAATATTCTCTAGGCAACTGTAAACCAAATCCACGGTTGATGTTTTATGCCAGGCAATGGCAATGGCGATTTGTGCAAAGAAAAAAGGCATTTTTGAAGCAACTGGCAACATATTATATATATATATATGTGTATATATATATATATGCTGACACATTCGGTTGAACAGGGTTGCAGCCAAAAAAATGCCAGATGAAACAGTGCAAATGAAAAGACATGAGCATGTTGTTAAAACTATAAATGAAACATGCAAACAACACGTTTTTGAACACATACTATATATCCCAAATTCATCGTCTATTGAAAAAAACAAAGATATTGACGTCGTTTTGAAGGGCCTTGCCAGCACGAAATGAACTTTCGCCTTTGAATTAAGGTCCAATAATCCCCCGGAAGGATGTTTATCATCGTTTGTTGTTTCTAGCGGCTTCATGCCGCGGTACAAACAGCCAGCTGGATTCTTGTGTCCCAGCAAGTTAGTTTTCCAATCTGACCCAACACATACATTACCCTCCGATTGCATGAGGGTTTTGCTCATGTATGCCGGAGTAAGTAATTACCATTTTTGCTTTCATGTTTTCTGATGAACAATTTATAGGGGTTGGTTCTGTTGTTCAATCATGTTTAATTCCCCCATCTTTCATTGCCATAGGCATTGATAGGCGAGCATTGAGCCCGAGGCTTCTTTGGGCCCCCATGAGGCCGACATCCCTTCAACTCCAACGTGCACACCTGAGCAGCCTGAAGCTTCGGAAGAGGATTGCCGCTGTACAATGGGAGATGTACAGTAGTAACCTCCAAAAAGAATTGACAAGACAGAAAAAGTATCAGAAAAGTCAATCATGACTATTTCAGTGGGATTTTTCAGACTGGTTTACGAAATGCGTAGTTTGAAGAATCCAGTAGACTCAGTAGACATGGATGTACCATGATGATCCATGATGTACCATGATATACCTCCTGGTGTTTCCCTTTTTAGTCATGGACATTTCCCATGTTAGGCTTGGGAAAGCAGGGGGCCGGCGAGATTTTCCCGGTTCTTGGAGGTATGTGGTGCGGGACATCTAGCCACCAACAAAAAATGTATAATATATCCCATGGTTAAGCAATATTATAGTCCAACCATGTCTACAGTAACCAGTACATCCCGTTCATCTAAGCTTACGTACCGATGTTTTGGTTAGTTACGCAAGAAATGTGTCATGTGAAAGGCACGGAATACACAATCACAATCACAGTCACGAATCATACCCATCTCCTTTGCCACAGGGGTTCCAACAAATAAAACAAATGCTTACACAGCAAGAAAATGAATCACGAATTGTCTTGGTCTTAATTCGATGGAATTTACAGAAGCCCTCTGGCTGATGGGCAGAGTAGGGGTTTTGAACATGGGAGGTTGTGTATGGGAGTATATATTATAATTATATGGGAATAAGTGTCCCGTCAGCCAGGGGCTCTGCAAATTCTAATGGCAATTTCATTCTTACTTGGTCTTGCAAGAGCGAGCCAATTTGCACGTTACGAAGGGGAAGACCTTGCAAAGAGGTATAGGGTGAAGACATGCAGCATGGGACCCGCAAGCCACCTATTTATATACGTATGCTTACATATGTATACATACCTTCATGCTCACTGCACCAATTCCAAATGCCACCAAGTTGAGCCTTGGTTTAGTATTGGTTATTAGGAAAAAAGGATTGGCCATGAACACATTATATTTACTGAAACATATTGAAAATTATTGGTCCCCTTCCACATTTGCGTTTGTGAAAGCGTTGCGTATTCCCCTTGGAAAGCTGGGGTCATCTTGCTACGGTGGCCCACATTGCAAACCATATCAAAGCATAGTGGTAAATTAGAATAGTGGTAAATTAAACATAGAGTCTATCTTTGGTTTTCTATCTTCTTGGATCCGTATCCCTGCGGTCCAACCATCTCCTTTTCGAATGGTACTTAAAGGCCAATGCCGCCAATGCCATAATGAAACTGTGATTCGACGCCCCCAGCGATTGATTACTGGAGTTGAATGGCATTGGATTTGTAGGCGATATCATCTACCCATGAACATATATCACTAGGATTTATAATCCCAAAAATGAATGCTCATCACTCCGTTCATTACTAAATACATATATATAGCCTATATAGGATTAATTGTACCCATAGATAGACTTATCATAGAGCATGTTGTTAACCTATGATGTTTTGGATCTATGATGATATTTGTAAAGCCTCACGTAAGGATATCCATCTTATACATAGATAGACTCACAAGTATACGTAGATGATTATATAGATTCACCATAGATAGACTCACGGGTATGTTAAGTACTTCTAGATAGCAATATGTTAATTATTAGATAGTAGTTTATAGCATATCCAAAAACAATACTCATCAAAGATCACTGTGTTACCCTGGAGTAAACTAAACATAGACGTGGTATATGATATATCCAAAAAAAAGCTCGTCATGGATGGATCAGTATGTTTTTTTCCCGGGTAAAACTAAACATAGATGTGGAAAAACAATGGTTTCCAGTTCAGAAATTATCTACTTTCATGGGTGGGTTCTTACACATTTGTTTCTATGTTGTCGAGAGGATAAGCCTGGTTTTGCCCTATCGGCGTCGGCCACCATAAATCATTTGATTATAATTTGATTTAGTCAAGATGTTATCTAACGAGTATATTGAGATATCTTAATTAAGTAATCCACACACACATTATATTTATACATAATGCCGGGTTAGGATTAATAATCCCCGCGGTATTAATCAACCTCCTCTGCCCCCCCCAAAAAATGTAATTTAAAAAAAGGTTGTCCCCCAGGATTAATAAACCCCCCCGATTAAAAAACCACCAGTGCTGAAATCATTTTTTTATCCAACAATTTTTATTTCCAATTCTATTTATTTCCAATTTGTTTACATTTTTTTTTATCATCATTGTTATACTTAAGGTTTAAGTTGATCATTGAAAATTTCAAAAAACAACCATTCCCCAAATGATCGATTTTTAATTAAAATCTTTATAAAAATCATCAGTTTGGATAGCTCCCAAAGAGTACCCCCCATGAGCCCATGTCCCCCATTAATAATAACCAGGGTTTACTCCTGATTAATCAACCACCTTTCTGATCCATGAGATTTTAACAAATCCAATAGAATTCTATTAAGATCTAATTGACGTAAGCCATATCCAAAGTTTTATGGTTCAGAGTTGCTTCTTATTAAGGGGGATCAAGAAAATGACCTACAAGGTAGAGTTCTGACCTTCTGGGGGGGGGATATTAAGCACCTATGGCCAATGATTATTAATCGCCCATCAACCACGATCAATCCTTAGCTCCATCCGATGGGCAGGATGTGAAGCTGCCATCCGTGGGCTCGGCGAGACATGGCAATGGCAACTGCCTGCCCTGCGCCTGGTTTTGGCACCTCGCTGACCCAAGTGCTGGGTGACCGGAGTACATATTTGATCTGTGTATTTTATACATATGTCACTTTGTATCTATATCTAAAATTAACACATTGTTGTATTGTATATTTAAACAGATATATTTTACACGCGCTGTTTATGTGCGTAGATATTTTTGCTCTGAGAGAATCATACAGTCTTGAGAGTTGAGAGAACGGAGATGCCACCATCTATACGTAGGCCATGGATTCCAGTTCTGGCCGTGTTAGGGGTAACACAGGTTCCACGTATTCTACACCGGAGGTTCTGCACTCAGGCAGTTATTTTTGACATGATGCGAAGGCCTTACAGCTTTCAGGATGCAGATTTCCCTACTTTTCCCAGGTTTGTTGACATCGCCAGGGGAACTTCCGAACTTCCCCTCCCCGGGGACATCGCTACCGCCCGGCTTCAGGAAACCCCAGGGATGCCTCAACGGCGACGCTTGTCTTCGCTGTCATCTCTGTCCAGCCGGTGAGCTGAAGCGTCGCAAGGGCGAGCAGAAGGCGCGGATCGTCCGCGGATGGGGGTGGACTGGGATTCATGGGTATAACTAACGACTATAACTTCCATGAGTTGGGAACCCCTACAGCTATGGTTATCACATGTTATTCAATGGTGTATAAGATAATGTAATATAACCAGCTTACTAGTGGAAGTGCGCCCCCGAAGCAAAAATGGCATGCGAGTTATCGTGGGTAATTTGGGTAATAGTAATAATGTTGATTATAACAAACTGTGTGCGATCTTGTATTATATAAACCCTGTGTTTTATGGGACATCGAGGCCGTCGAGGCCCTGTTTAATTTTGTTTATGGAACCGCATCCCGGAGGTAAGACTTACAGTTGTTGTTCCATGATGCTCAGACTCAGGGGTTACTCCATTTTTCTGGTCCATATATAAAACCATCAAACATGTCCATATTTTCCGTGGTTGTTATATTGCTCCCGTTCCAAACATCTCCAAAGCCACCCGAAAAGACCACCTCCAGGCGAAGCGTGCGCTGGCGAAGAGCGAGAGTTCGCCCGAGGCAGAGCCAGAGCCCCTGCCCCTGGAGCCAGAACTCCCATCGCTGGGGTCGCGGCTGCATGCGGCAGGCACCTCACAAGCTGCAGCTGGGGACGGCCCGGGGGGCCCCGGGGTTCAGCATCCCAACAGGACCAGCCTGCTTTGGAACTGGCGAAATCTGAGCTTGCCACTTGTATTTAGAAATAGGCAGTAAAAGCAAAGCATTGAAATAGAACTAAGCATTTAAGTCGTTTGGAGCAACAAAAAAGGCTGCGAGGTAGTAAATAAGTATGGCTATAAGCCCCAAAAAGAGACAAACCAGATTTATGAAGAGGAGATAAGGGGATAGCGAGGTAAGCTTAATATTAAACAGACCACGGGGCCACGGTGCACACAATGGCTATCAATGGTTTATGACTGGGTCCACCACCTTTTCCACGGCCGAATCATGAGAGGATTTGCGGCTGAGGATGTATGGCATTTCGCTGGTGAGAATGAAGAGATGTGAATCATTACCAAATGAATATTTTCTGGCGACTTTTCAACCAAGGAAACTTTCCAGCCCTAATGACTAGAATTTCTTGAAATCATTATACAGATTGTACAGTTTGATTGGTGACTAGTGTTATCTAGTGGTAGTTCATTGACCGCCCGGTCTCAGTGTCATATACAAAAGCCCGCTTGAAGGGCCTCCATACTGAGTCGTGTTTCTCATTCTCTCACCCCTGTTTGAACCCATAATTATATAAAAAAAATATATTTGTATTATGTATATCGGGGTTCCAGGTTTTCCTGGGTTCATGTGGCCAACGGATTTGAAACACGTCCTCATGGATCTCGGATCCCGTAAGTTTTGCTCTGCCAGCTGTCAAACCGCAGGCCAGTGCAAGCCTTGCGCATGGTTCTGGAAGGTGCCCTGGTCTTGAAGTCATGCCAGTATATAGTTGGATGACCATACCCTCCCATACCCTCCCATACCCTCCCCATACCACATTTACATACATAAAAGATAAACACACACATATATATATATATAATGTACATAGCATGTGCATGTAACATATATAGTTTATACATATACACATTGTGGTTGCAATAATAATAAATATATATAGATATTTTTATTTACTTATATGTATATACATATATATATTTATTCACATACTTATATATATATACTTAGATGTATATATATATATACTTAGATGTATATATATACTTAGATGTATATATATATATATATATATTTATTTATACTTATATGTATATACTTAAATATACACATACTTATATATTTATATTTATACATATACTTATTTATTTTCACATACTTATATATAATTATATATACTTATATATATATATACACTTATATATTTATACTTATATGTTTACTTTTTAAACGACATACTTACATATATGCACCAGGCCCTGCCACCCCCCCCCTCCCCCCATGGGATATACTGGCCCCATATGAGATCTTCCTCCTCCCCCCCTGTGGTGTGGTGGCGGTGTGGCACTGTCCCCCTCCCCCCCTGTGGTGTGGTGGGGGTGTGGTATGGTATGTTGGGTATGTATGGTGTGTATGGTCGGTCTGGTATGGCATGTTTGGAAAGTATTGTATGTTTGGTATGTATGGTATAGGTATGGTATGTATGGCATGAGTGGTTGGTATTGTATGGATGCTAGGTATGGTATGTAAGTCTGTTGGGTATGGTATGTTTGATAGATATGATAGGTATGATAGGTATGGTATGCATGGCATCATTGACATGTATGGTAGGTACGGTATATGTTAAACACAGGTGGTGTTGTCAGAGTACACAGGTAGTAAATAGGAAGTAGATACAGTAGATACATAGCACATGTATATATATGACTATAGGTAGCACGTAGGTACTTTGAAGAAGTATGTGTGCTACGTAGATCGCCTAAAAGGTAGCATGTACCTAGTAAATGCGAGGCTGGTAGTCAGAAATGCTGCAAAGACCTAGCAAAGACGAAGCTGGACCTCAGAAATGCTGCCAATAGCATGCAAATAGAAGGGAATTGGGGCTGCTACCTGGGGACCCAACCCATGGGGGGGAGGGGGGAGGGTCGGGAGGGGGGGGAGCGGGGAGGGGGGGAGGGGGGGAGCAGACGGCAGGACGGGACCAGAGATCGAAGAGAGTCGAGATAGAGAGGTAGGAGGGATGGAGGGTACTGATAGATAGATATACGGAGAAATAAATAGTTGAATAGAGTATAGAGACTGATATCTACAAGCGAGATAGTACGTACAGTAAAGAGAGATACATATATATACATATACTTATATATATACTTACTTAAATATATATATATACATATATATATATATTTACATATATATATATATACATACACTTTTTGAATATTCTTATACATGTTTTATATATGCTGATATATATATACATACACTTAGATTTATTCTTATATTTATTCTGTTTATAATTATATACATATACTTTTACACATACATACATTTATATTCTTATATATATTTATATTATTTTATGTGTATATTGTATACTTTCATGTTCCTATATTTTTATATATATACACACTAATGTATGTATATATACTAATATTTATATATATACTTATATATATATACATATATATATACGTGTATGTTTTACTTAAATGTACTATATTACATATATATATATATTTATTATTACATATATTTATATATAGAGACTTTTACATATACTTATATCTCTACTTTTATATATACATATATTTACTTCTATTTATATATATATACATATATACTTATATGTATATGTTTTCTTCACTTATTTGCATAAATATATAAATACATTTTTTTTATATACTGATATAACTATATATACATGTTTTTTTTAAAAAATAAGTATCTGTATATGTACCAACATCAAGTGCTTTCACCATGGCACGTGGCACCATGGCCCAGTCGGACGGCTGCCGCAATGGCCAGAGCTGTGGGCATTGCCACCTGTGTCCTGCCGGAGAAGCCAAAGCCAGGAGCTCCCCATGGATCGGTTTCTATTCTTTCCATGATGATTATTTCTATGCTAAGTTTTGGCGATTTCACCCGAAAATGGTAGATATACCCGGTGGATTTAGGGGTGTTCTCAGACAAACGCAAACTGTTTGGCTGCAGGTCGGTGAATTGGTTCCGAGAAAAAAACGACTAGATTAGGTCGCTAATAAACGCCTTCAGGGCCAAACATGATATGCAAGGCAACTCATCTCGACAAATATAGGGCTCCTGTTCCAAGTTCTTGGGGCTGTTCGAGCCACTGAATGGTGCTTAAATAGCCGCTTGGCATGCACCAAACCGGAAACAAGCACACACACACATACATATATATATATAATATATATATATATACACATACACACAGCATAAATATAGACATATATTTACAGTATAAATATATATATATATACATATTTGTAATACTCTACAAATAACACGGGTGATTTTTGATGCGCATGGGTCCCCACTTGTAAAGGGCCACCATTGTGTATTGGTAGGTGTCGAACATTGTCCATTTCGGTGGTCTGATGCACCAGCCCCAACACCCCAGTTGTTGAAGATCTACATTGTTTGATGGGTTTCAATGTAAACTATGAGCATGTGGTCAGCAGCATCATTTTTTGCCACAATTGGAGGAATCTGACATCATGCCCCTCCATATAAAGCTCAGTTTTGGTAGCCCGGTAGCCAATGATGCAAGGTAATCAATGATGCAAACTTGGACCCATCATCATGGGGTATGTGCCCATACTGGTTGCTGGTCATGGTCTGACGATTTAACGGTCAGAAGTCCTATCAAAGCACCCCATCCACTGCAAAGAAACTGTTGGCCTTGCTCCAGGAAGCAAGCCAAAGTGGCGGCCATTCGTGCCAAGGGCCACCTGGAAAGCCAACAAGCATGTCATGTCAGAGATTGGTCCCAATTTATGACAGTTTTTGCGGGACAATTATTTTAAGACATGGGATGTTTTGGGCTCTATTTTCAGATAAACCCACATGAGGCACCGTGTAAGGGGAAATAGGAAGGTCTGTTTCGGGCAAGAAGTGTCAATGCACCGGATTTTGAAATTTGAGTTTTACAATCCTTCACTTCTGCGAAACATGACCCTTCAGAAAGTCATCATGGACTATTCCCATCACTAGTTGATACTAGTTGCTTGTTTGCCACCCGAGCAGCATATTTGGTCAGCTGGGCCGAAGCCACAAATCGGAATTTCATGCCCGGATTGTTGTCCGTTTGCTTCCACGCCCAAGTGGTGCCCATATCCCAGGCTGAGATCGGAGAAAATTGTAATGTACCCTTTCATGCCAATATCATACCAATCTCTAAATTCTAAGTCATTGTGGTGAATCTAAAACACAAATATACCTACCTTCTGGTAATTTAACGTAGATTTGGAAGACATGGCCCAATTAGTTTCATATGTCATTTTGTTTGAAGGTTATTTTTCCAGTTCGTAAACTCGAGAGAATCACTTGAGGCTAGGATGACGGAAGCGTTCTTCCAGCCACTATGTTCTTTATTGTCTATGGTGATTTTTCAGCTTGCAAACGCTAACGAACCCAGTCACTCTAGGTGAACAAATGGACGCTGATGCTCCATCCAGAGCAGCTCCCAGCCCTGCCGCTGTAACGGTTCCTGCGGCTCCCATGGTGTACCAGGCAGGACTTTCGCAGCAATTGGCACACCTTGGGGTGACTCCTGGAGGGAAACAACATATTGAAATCATATTGATATGTATAATATTGATTTGGGAGATGTCAAGAGATGCTGATGTTAAGAGGTTCAGGTTGGACTTCCTTCCTTTGTTGATTTTGTGATAGTGTGGGGATGTGTGGGGTAGGTGTTACCAAGCAGTCAGCTAGACTTCGAACAAGAGTGAGTATGTGTGTGACAATTTAATAAATGTTTGCAAAAGGTACGATCATGTTTTTCCCCATCATAGCCATGACTTGGGGCCCATCCCGCATTTTTTGACGAACCCATGTGGTTTGCGTAAGAAGATGATCCAAAAGTGCGAACTACCCTCCGGTAATCAAACATAATCACACCCTCCATACTAACCACAATTACTTTTCATGTGTTTTCCAACCTTTTCCAGCACCCTTGCCCTTGCCAGCTTGCCAGCTTGCCAGCTTGCCAGGTGTTGCCTCAATATCCCACGTTGCTCAGCCCCTGGCGTCCTCCATGTCCTGGCTGTGCCTGCTGCACCAACTGCGTGCCCTTGAACCAGCCGCGGCAGTGCGTCGCCTACCTCTCGGCCATGTCTCCCGCGTCGCTGCCGGCCGCGCCCTGCGAGGCGGGCGAACGCCGCACTGTGCAGGAACTCTCTGCGCCGGTCTTCGCCGTGCCCAGCGTGACCTTTCCGAAGCTGGTGCCAGCGCCACAGCCAACACCAGGACTGGGTGGAAGCCCGGTCAAAATGTTGAGAGGCACCATTATAAACACAAGTGAAAAAGTCCCATGGATAATTGTACTCAGATCTAACGGAATCTAACGAGCGGATGCCCACAAGAGATCAAAACTGCCCGGGCTCTCCTCAAGTCTCGTCAAGTGCTAGCATATGTTATTACAGCATATTACAGCAAGCTATCTAACCAGTTCTCAACTGGGGTGGTGATTCCATTGACAAAAGCGACCTGCGAGGAGTGCCGCCTGGCTCCTTCACTCAGCAAGTTCCATCTAAAGGATCAGCACTCCATGGGGATGGTCGCTGTTCCCCATGTGCATGGTTTCTCTGGTGGCACTGGGGTGACCTGCATTTTGAAGCCTGACATCTCCTGATTTTGTTGGCCAAGATGTAATATCTGGCTGGTGGTTTGGAACATTCCATAATACTGGTATATGGGATAATCCTTCCCATTGACCAATATTTTTCAAGATGGTTAAAACCACCAATCAGTATAGCGTGATAGAATATGCATGAATATGCCACTTCACGACGCAGGCAACTGTTGTGCAGTGCATATATTCATGGAGACCCGCATTGTGTCAGGCTGCATGTCTAACTGCAGAGCTGTGGAGTGTTGTATATTTCATACGTTGTACAGTGGGTACATAGTTACATCTGAGGCCAGTCAAATACTTGTACATCCTTAATGAGCATGACCATTTCAATTCGTTTGCAGGCCCACAGGCCTCTGATTTCGACCCGTATCCTTGTAGATGTAGATATTTGATGATACTGATATTTGCTGGTGAGAACTCCTTTTGTGTGGCTCAAAGTTCGCATCCGTGGTAGAATTGCTACATGTAGTGATACCGTGATTATTTCATCCGACTGGTGTCATCAACAACTGTGTGCCATTCCCCGCCAAAACTTTTTAAGGCTGGTGAATTATGAACGAATTTTGCCATACTGTAATATACTGTGACATGTACATGTATTTATGTATACATATATACACTTATATAATGTTTATAGCTACATATATATATATATATTGGGAGAGACCTCCGTAAAATATGGTTGATATGTTTTGACAGTTAAATCAGCATGAACTTCCCATTTTCATTCACCATGGTTGATGGTTAAATTCACCATTGAACACATGAGTTGCGCCCAGAAACGCATGAGGTTTTGGAAGCCGCAGGGCTGTCATCACGGTGGAGAATGTGGGCGTTGTCACCTGTGTCCTGCAACGGACGCCTCACGCGCTGTCGGTGTTGATCAAATTTCAAGCCATATAGCAACCCCAAATATATAATGAGATTTAATGGACTTTAACGGGATATAATGAGATATAATGGGATTTAATGGACGGGAGAGAGAGAGAGAGAGAGAGAGAGCGAGAGAGAAAGATATATATATATATGTATATATATATATTTACTGTTTATATTTATATATATATTATTGTTATTTATATACATATGTGTATATATATCATCAGCAACATGATAACTAATGGGGTAATTTGGGGATGGTTTGGAATCCTACCCACTTGTGATGAAATTGGTGATATTCTATCAGATATGCTCCATGTATGGCATATAAAAACGCACAAAACAGTGCAATTGTTTGTGGTAAATGTAGGTAAATATTCCGTACATTTGAGCATTTGGGGAATATAGCACCCCCAAAATGCATAGAAAACTACAGCACATGTCGAAAGCCCTTTCACTTTCTGTTTTCCCATTACCGTCCCGCAGTCAAACGTGGCAATGGAAAATCCCCTACAAGTGGAGATCTTAATGGGTAATTCATTGTCACGTTGGGTTAATTGATGGCACTGTAATACGGAGAATTGTGATCACCACTGGGGGTGAATAATATCTATGTCAATTATGATGACACAATTTACAGCCATTGCGTTAATTGAAATGGGAACTATACTGGGAATGACTAAACTATCTAAAATATCTCTCATATATATAGATATAGAAATACTTGTATCATGTAGTCAAGCTAGTTAGATGGGGTTACAAACCAGCTAGCCTAACTAGGCGGCCCCATGCACTTTGCAGTGTATTTTGATGTTTACCGTTCTGCGAGGGATGATGATCATTATGATGATCATTGTAATGTCCAAAAAGTCAAATATTATTTCAGACTTGATGGCTCAACCTGTCGAACGTTCCAACCAATATTGCAAGGTTGTTAGTGGGCCAGAAGTTGTTTCTGATTGAAGTTCTGAAGGTGTCTCTCTCTCTCTCTATATCTATATGATATAGTTTACATATATGTGTTACACATATATATATATGTAACACATATTATACAGAACCCACGCAAAACTCGTTGTAAGCACTCCACCTAGCAAGACTGAGTGGGCCCCATACCCACAAATTCGTCATGCTGATGCAGAATGATGGTTTTCTAGGCCGTGGAATCCAATTCAGACTTGGGACTGTAACATTTTCCCCAAACAGTTTTTGCTTTTCAGGTGCAAAGTTGAGCTAATGCCAAGGGGGAGGCCGGATATTTCTACATATTGATACATTTTGGGAAATGTTACTTCACTTCAAAGATCGGTGATCAAATGGCTGTTGCAGCAACCCCCAGTGACGTTTACAGGAAATCTCTATGGAACCTAGCTAACTTAATGATGTTCTTGGTTTAAATCCTGATCGCTTCGTTGCTTAAAGATTTTTTTTGTTGCCACCCCGCTTTGCACAATCAGTAATGTGGCAAGCCCAAGAACAGACCAGGGATGGGTAGTATAGACCCTCCAAATTGGAAGCTTATTCTTGGGTATACATAAATTCTTGGGCGTACCAGATTATGCAGAAACCAAAGTTCTGCAAGAACCAAACCTTTTTCTCCGCAGGAGATCAAGCTGCGCCGAAAGGCGAAGGCCAGCAAGGGAAACCTCAATGGGGCGGAGGAGATGACTTTGCATAAGGCTACTTAGTAGGGATGGCGCTGATTAATCCACGGATTTAGGGTTTCTTCACGTTTCTTCCCAAAATTTATGTCATACGAATTGTACATCTGTTCCAAAGCGCCAAGACTGTCGTGAAGTGAGTGTGGACTGAACTTGCGGATGGAACTGCCTACGACGGGATCCAAGAGCCAAAATCTGATTCGTACAAGTACCCAAAATCTTCACAAAAAACGCTCCCAAAATATCCAAAAATTGGATGTGAAGTGAAATGGTGATTAATTTCCCTTAAAAAGCGCTTACCCTTGGGTAATTAATCAAACAATATGGCAATGCAAACTCCATCATCATCCATAGATGGTGTTCCCAATAGTAATCAACCATGGATTGCTGGAAACTTCCCCGTTTATAGATAACATTTACCAGCTATAAACCTCCATTTAGATAACTTCTTCCATTTAGTTCGGGGATTTCCCACTGCCATGTTTGATTGCCGCTTCGGGGAGTATCCTGGAGGCAATGGCGAAAGATGCCCTGAAGGCAGACTTGGCTGCGACGCTGGGAACAACTGGTGGTTCACCAGAGGCATAAGTGGATTCGCACCACAGTCAAAAATACAGGTTACATAAGTATGGTCAATGAAGTTATAACTGGGGCTGTCACCCATTTAGCAAGTGGGGCGAAGCAGCAAGTAGCCACAGAAATAGGAGGGGTCTTCAACAGATTGACATTGGCCATGAGATATCCTTAACTAATTGCATGAGTTTCCAGGTGCAAAGCCAATCAATTGGCTGTTTTGGGGTTTATGAATACAGGCCTGACATTGCTTCATGGAATTGGGATCACCTGTAGGATCCAGTAGGCTGGTATAGGTGATATGTACAAGCGCAGTTTCCAGTCAGCCATGTTTGTTTAAAAGGCGGTAATTAACAAATTTTGAGAAACCTGCTGCTGTAGAGAATCGATTTGATGAGCAAAGATGCCACCTCTCTCTCTCTCTATCTCTCTCTCATTTTCCTAGTAAACATCAGAATGTGAACATCAGATATGAATTTTATTGCCATCGAAGATGAGAATTGTTTTTGAAACAAGAAACATGAAGGTAAAACACAGGGAACAAAATGGGGATTTAAATGATAACATTGGGAATTTAGCAGCTGCAGGCCTACAGTATCCTACAGTACTGCATGAAATTGCGGGTGTTTTGATGTAAAAGTGTGGGTACAACATTTGCTGGCCAAATATGTAGTTTGTTGTTGTGCATCAAATCTGCTGCATGTAGTATATCTATATCTAATCATATCTATATCTAATATCTATACATCTAGTATATCTATATCTATATCTATATATATATTATTTATTTCAAACACACTCGGAATACGCAGACGCATCATGTGCACAATGCTGCTCACATATCCCCTGACATATTGTTTGCATCAAGGATCAAAGGTAAGTTTTTGCCACATTCGGTTAGACGCCTCAACTGGCCACATCCATGGGAATCCTGTACTTAATAGCGTTGACTAATCCCATCCCCCTAATATTAAACATTCACCTAGAAACCATGGTTTAGTCAGGATTTTCCACATAATTGGGATCATTTATAAGGTGTTTGTTATTAGGGGGATGGGATTACTGTTGACCTTCCAGATCTGAGGAATGGCAAGAGTGATACACTCATTCTCGACTGACCTTTCCGTGAGACGGAGCGCGAATGCGCAATCAGGCGACCCTGTTCGTAGTACCCCTGCAGCCGAGAGGTGTAACTGATGGAACTGTGCGATTGGTAGACTGGGTGATGCTGCAAACCTGGACCACAGTGTACTCAACGCATTGTCAATGCGCCCTTGTATATGTTGTGTCTCTATTGCTCGACGGTAGACACAAGTTCTGACACAAGCCGTCAGAGAAAGCAAAGGCTATGACTCATTGGATTGGTTTAAGGGAAAAATTACAGGAAACCATGGTTTTTACCATCAAATATAGGGCTTTCCTGTAAATTTTCCCATCATCCAATTCTATGAATGACAGATGCAAGGTTTCTGGACCTTTTAGTTCTCCTGGTTTTCGAGTACCAACCAAAGATTCTATACTGAAGAGAGGCAAACAAGTCTGCATGCTGCATTCTCAGCTTCGAAATGCTTCGAATGATGATTTTTTGCAGATGGCCACGCATCCAGTCAACTCGATCACATCCAGTCGGAGTTTAGCTTGCAAGGCTCGACGCGTCGATTCTGGCTGCTTGAGAGATAAAATTGAAAATTGCACGGTTTCAATACACTTCAAAACCACGTGCTAAAGCTACAGAAAGCTACAGTTGTCAGCCATATGCCAAGGGAAAATGATTGACCCGTCGAATGAATTGTCTCCTTTGGTTTCTTTGATGGAATCTCTCAAGATCTTGCGAAGTCAAACGCTCAGACTTTCGTTGGCGTGGCACTACCTTGATCCACATGACATGCTCACAGCGTAGGGACGGCTGACGTCACGAAGCTCAATATAATGATGATGATGATGATGATGATGATGATGATGATGATGCATGAAGCGATCCCAGTTGGCATCGAGCCTAAGTCTTCCCACCCCCAACTCATGGCAGGGTCGTCAGTCATAGGGTCGGTAGTGTACAATAGTTTACTTGCTGTGCTATTTGTCCTTTGGGCAGGTTGGTTGAGAATGACCACAGATGTTCTCGGCTAAAGTTGGCTAAAGCATGGCTTTTCCACCTCAGCATGTCTCAGCCGTCCCGCCTGCAGATCCCTTAGGGACGGTCTTGAACAATTTGGACCTAGCTGGCCACATCCCCCAACTGGCTCAACTCCTGCTGCAAAATGTGACCAGGATAGGTGGCCTCAATGTACCCTTGGTTTTGCCCTTCAGTCATTGTGATTCTCTGTGATTGGATGTGTTTTGATACGTATGTATATAATTGTATATGGTTGTAAATTTTCATTTTACACACACATATGTATATATATAATATATATATATATAACATATATATAACATATATATAATATTTATATACAGTAACATATATATGTGTATAACATATATATATATAACATACATAACATATTTATATATAGCATATATATGTAACATATATATATAACATTTATATCATATATAATATATATATATATAACATATATATAACATATATATATAACATATATATATAACATATATATATATAACATATATATATATGTTATATAACATATATAAATATAATATATATACATAACATGGGAGGCACCCCCACCCTTGGACAAGACATATATCTGTGTACGTTTTCTGCGACCTCAATGGATGGCCTCACTGTAAAATGGTGGTTGGTAAGGAGGCATCATCCCCAAAATTGTTGATTTCCTGTTTGTGAATAATTGTCATTTGCCGTGAAACATCCAGGAGCACAGTTTAAGGCCTGAAAATGGAACGAGGGACTAACTAACGGCTAGGACCCAAGGTAATTATCATGGGTCATGCTAGTTGCTCAGTTACTGCGGTAAGATGTCCATAAACCTGGGTCCCAATGTTGACATGACTGTGGAACCACATACCACTGGCTGTGTCACAGCTGGATTCTTGATTCGGGTTGGGCCATGTTGGGCCCTTGACCGAACAGAGGCATAGACCATTCCACAGCTGCCTGTGTATGACGCGAATCAGATCCGTGGTTTATAGTCTATATGCATAATAATATATATATATATACAACCGATTATAACCGTATCATTCCGCATAGAAGTGGGGATGTTCCACATATAACTGGGGGTATAACCCATTTACTAAGTGGGATGCGCCCCAAAGTAGTAAGCGCATGATGTCCGCTTATGATTGATTGCCACCAGTCACCAGGACATATGACGAGATTCATTCCTTGAAAGCCAGCCTTGGGGCTTGGCCCTTGTAAGCAACGGCTGCATCGTGGTCCCTGCTGGCAGGTGCCTTCCGTTTTTTTTTGGCCTTGCCATCTATGGAGACTGTCAAAAGCTTGACTGCTGGTGGTTGAAAAACTACAGAACCAAATGCGCCACCAGAGAATTCACCATTATGCAGGATGTCAAGCAGATAAGCAGAGGATCGAATGAATGTTGGATGCTGATTAGTGGATAGGTTCGCTATTGTGCCAATTTTTCCAAATTATTCTGAACTCATGCATTGTTTGGCGGGTTCGCCATTGTGGCAAGAAATCTTGGGGGGGGGCATTTTTTTTGTCCAAAAAAATGTTTGTGTAAAAAAACTGAACATTTTTTCTGAACAAAATCTTGCTTTTTCTCCCTGTCCCCAAAGAATCAGACCGCTTATTAAACCCTTATTAAAGAACAGTTTTTTCCACAAATTTCCAGGGCACTGGGCCATGAGAAGGTCCAATTCACTTTAGTAGGTTTGTTCTCAGGGTTCACAATTGCAGCAAACTTTTCCAGAGCTGATCCTGGAGCCAAGAGAAGAAAGGTAGGCCTTTTCCACAAGCAATTGTCAAATTCAAAGTCCAAACCTTTCCCACAAGAATCAGACCGCTTATTAAACCCTTATTAAAGAACTGTTTTACCACAAATTTCCAAGGCACTGGGCCATGAGAGGGTCCAATTCACTCTATATAGTAGGTTTGTTCTCAGGGTTCACAATTACAGCAAACTTTCCAGAGCTGATCCTTCCTTTTTCTTTTCCTTTTCCTTTTCTTCTTCCTCTTCCTCTCTCTTTCTTTCTTTTTCTCTCGTTCCCTTTCTCTTTTCTTTCTCTTTCTCTTTCTCTCTCTTTTATTGCATGGTTCATTAAGAAAAACTTAAGGTGGAAAAGGTAACCAGGTAACGCAATCAACCTGCTGAACCCCACTCACTACAAGTACTACAAGTACTACAAGTACTGCAAGTACTACAAGTACTACAAGTACTACTAAGTACTACAAGTACCACTAAGTACTACAAGTACTACAAGTACTACAAGTACTACAAGTACTACAAGTACTACAAGTACTACAAGTACTTCAAGTACAGTTGCCTTTCTGGTCGCCATAAGCC